TATCCTACTGCTAACGGTTAGCGCTAACCGATCGGGCGTTCTCACGCAGGTGCTAACGGTTAGCGCTAACGGTTAGCTCCCGATCCGGATACTAGGGCTCTCGTCAGCACCAGGCTAATAATGGTATGCCCTCTTCTTAATAATGTAACGGCAAGATGGATTCAACTGCGGTGACTGGCGGAGCTGAGCGTTTGCGTCCAGTGCGTGTATTGCGTTAACAAATCTTTATTAAAATAGTCGGTTCTGCGCCCTTCATAAATCACTACCCACAGTTCCGTGGGTATTGGCAATGCAGCCAGTGCACTGGGGTCCGGAGCTAACTTTAAAAATTACTTAAATTTTCCCCTCTGTAATATTAGGTTTAATAGCCTTAATTATAGATTGCAGGCCCGTATCCGGGGGGGGGGGGTATTGTTTTCTAGCAAACCCCTCTTTTATGGCGAACCTCCTTCTTTAAATTTCCCAATTAAGACCTCCAACCCAACTAATGCACTGCAGACCCACCCAGACACAGACGTTTTCAAACATATCTGCTTTTATAGCATTATTTAGACCCATAAAGCACAACAATTCTCTTGCTTTGGGGGTTTTGCCGACCCCACCGGGGTTCGACCGTGGACCTCACGCCCAGAACCCCCATCCCCCTCTCCTTACAATTTACCTATTACGTGCCACCAAACACTGCATGTAGGATGACTTTTTGCAAAACAATAAAAAAAATAAATAAATAAATTAAAAAAAAATAAAAAAAAACATGCCTTGAACAGCTTCGTATCAGTTAAATACAATCAAGGTTATTTTCTTCCATAGGTAACTGACGTATGCTTCGTACCACGGTACGATACACTAAAGTACTTTTAAAAGCATAATCTTCTTTTATAGCATTATTTAGACCCATAAAGCACAACAATTCTCTTGCTTTGGGGGTTTTGCCGACCCCACCGGGGTTCGACCGTGGACCTCACGCCCAGAACCCCCATCCCCTCTCCTTACAATTTACCTATTACGTGCCACCAAACACTGCATGTAGGATGACTTTTTGCAAAACAATAAAAAAAATAAATAAATAAATTAAAAAAAAATAAAAAAAAACATGCCTTGAACAGCTTCGTATCAGTTAAATACAATCAAGGTTATTTTCTTCCATAGGTAACTGACGTATGCTTCGTACCACGGTACGATACACTAAAGTACTTTTAAAAGCATATTTCTAAAGCAATTGAAATATCAGCACGCACGTTTTTGTTTGATTGGCCCATTTTAAAGTTGGTTTAACAATATTGTGCATGTTTTTGAATCACGTCAGTTCATTATACTTCATGAATACGTTTTACTTCACTGAAATCGTGTCATTGATTTTTCTATTGTTGTCAATATATATATTGTTTGAAGGTTTGCATGTCAAAGTAAAAATATATTAAACGCTTGACTATATTCAGGGGCGGATCCAGAATTTTTAAAAGGAATAGATAAGGGAGAGCGCTAATTTCAATGTATGCCTTGAAATTTCAAAATTTAGTGGCAAAAACGATCCCTCTACTGGATGGATCCACCCCTGATTTTGTTTTTAATATCTTTGAATATGTTTTCGAATATTTTATAGATATTTATACTCTTTACAATGTCGTATCCGTTTTAAACAATTGAATGTAATGTATGCATTATTATCTTGCACTGGGGTCCGTCACCAACTCGCTACGCCGTTGAACCAATTACATAATAATATCTCGGATGTTTAAAATTCAAATAGGCACGAATACAGTCATATCGTAAAATAAAACCTGAACACAGTAATACATTTTGTGATCTCTGAACTCTTAAAAATGTTGACTATTTGAAAAAGTTTATACCTGAACAAATACAAATTAACCGCTTTGATCAAGTCTCATTTCCGGTGTGGAGAACAGATGCATAGTTAGCGCGTTGGCATGGATCACGCATGTGCAGGGACTTATCGTCTCGACTCTTGTAATTATATAATAATTGTAAATCAGTCCTGAAGATGAACAAATGAAATTGTAAATACGAAATATAATTTGAGTTAATTACTTATTAAGATCTAACGGGCGCCAGAAGCGTTTGTCTTTCTAGCCGGATGGTTTTCAATACTTCTAATCATAAAACACGTAATTGTCAATGAAATATGGCTTGTAGAAAAACCTGTGTTAGATTAAAATTGATATTCGTGGTCTATTGGAAAATTAGTAACACGTATTGAACTTTAGCCTGACCAGGACTTAGTCTGAATAAAATAAAACTTTAATAGAACTGTACGTGATAGAGAAAATAATTTGTTTTTGAACATAATTTCATTAAATAATAATATAAAATAATAACAGTAATAGTTAAGTAATTAGGTTTGTATCTGGACTTCTAGAAACTAACTAGAAACTAAATTTTCTGCACAAGTTGTTTTTAGGTTGATAGTATTAGTTAACCATGTACTGTTTATTGTCTCTTGTGTCTACATAATAGTATAAAAAATGTGTATACAGTAGAAATCAAACTGCCAACTGATTATAGTTGTTTATATGTCGGTCCTACTAAGGACCACGGAGGACCATAGGAGACAGGCGTGAATACAGACAACATTTTACCATCGGAGAGTAGGCACTTGCGTGTACAGTGTATTTTTAATGATGAATGAAGATGAATTTCTGATCTTACTCCCGTAGGTGGTTCTCGTTGTGGTGTTTGTAGAAACCTCTAAAAAAAAGAGAGTTATTTGTCATTTAAACATGTACTGTACGATAACATGAGTTCGCTTTAATCTTATCGGCAAATTCAACAATTCAATGAGCTTATAATAACAGTTTAATTACAATCGATAGACAAATTTACCAGGCAAATTTCAATTCTTGATTGATAATAAGTTTCAACAGCAATTGTATTTTTAAATACAAAATACACAAATACAAAAGTTAAATTTAAATTTAACTTTTGAAAGTGAAATGTATTTTATGTTCATAGCCTCTAATAGTAGGTTGTAATTTTAAGTTGGACATAGGCCTATTTGTTATGCTATGTATTTAAGTCCCGAAATAACAGATGATTGATTGAATGAATTGCCGTAACTATAAACATTTAACCATATTTATTGTTTTATTTATGCCTTCTGCATGCGTACCTAGGTCTTGAAAATTTCGCCCCTTAAGCAAGGTATCCGATTCTGGGTCATAATCCGCTCTGATTCCTCACTTTCCAGCCTCGTCACGTATATCCACACTGATACTTTTTTAGAAACTTGCAGCTCAGACACAATGCCATCTGCATATCAACATGTTAGCATGTTGAATCTGTCATAAAGTTAAAGGTGCTACTGTACAACATTTCCCCGTCACCATGTAGAAATGCCGCAGCCTAGGCTAAATACCACAAAGCAATTTCACTGTTCCCTGGCAATATTGACCTTTCCGATAAGGATATTTTTGCTAAGGCTGACAAAAGAAGGACAGTGAAAAGCATACACACATACACACACACACACACGTCCACACACGTGCGTTTGTGAGACACGTGCGTATTAATGGTCTTGGTCTAATTGGCTAGTTGTTAAATTTGATAAATACTTCGCAAAGGTCCATCATATCCTTTGTTCACGTTGAAGTGGGTTGGGACACTACAGAACTATGATAGAAAAATGCTGTTTGTATTGATATTCTCTGTACATAGAGACCAATATCATTTAATCACAATTTATGAAGATCATAATTTTCGTAACATTGCCATAAGACATTGTACTAGGTAATAAGCAAATTAATGACAGGTCTATCATAATCCTGCTGGATTAGAAGTTTAGTCACGATTATAGGAATATAAATCATCCTATTAATAGTGAATTTTCACTCAGGAAATGCAAAAGTTAATTTAGGGTAAAGAAAGCACTTTTGAATGAAATTTTAGAGAGAATATTTCATCTTTAGTTATTTCCGTACTAATTTCTATAATGGGCTAACGATGAACCTATAGCTGTAACTATTTTGAAACGCTTTAGAAATGAAAAAAAGTTAACTTAGGGTAAAGTAAGCACTTTTGAATGAAATTTTAGAGAGAATGTTTCATCTTTAGTTATTTCCGTACTAATTTGTATAATGGGCTAACGATGAACCTGTAGCTGTAACTATTTTGAAACGCTTTAGAAGACGCAAATGGTGTTAACATTAAAATTTAATTGTCAGTTTATTAATATTCAGAATGACGTCATTTTTACACGCATCTTCGTCTTGATGCTACCGAAACTCAACTAGGGCAACAATGGTACAGGTGAGCGTGGAGTGGAGAGTTCTAATCATTGCGCTATATAGGCCAAACTCGCCCTGTTAAATCAGGGAACAGTTAAGGATAAATGTTTACTCAGCGCAGGTGAGGCAGCAATACTAATAATTGTCGACTTATAAAGCACATGTACAGACATCTATGCTCTTAGCATTCGTACCCCCGGTCATTGGATCAAGCACATGTGGAACACATACTCGGGTCTTTTGGGAGAATTCCATAATGTTGCAGCTGTACAGCGCATGTTTGTGTTTGAACCTACGAGGTACCCACTAGTTAGAGTAGCTATTTCTCTAATGGTTGCGCATGTCAATCTAGGCGTCAGTACTTTAAATAATCTAAAGAACAGCCAGAATTTGCTTCCTAGTATACGTTGATACAACGATAGATGATAGGCCTATACTTCAATTCGTTTTTGAGCAGAGATTCAATTTTGTTTTTGTTTATTTTGTTACTATTCATATTAATCAATGCTCCACACGCTAATTATTTAGGCCTAATTTTCCACACTTTTCTCCAGCAAATTGTTTTCCCCTAAGTTCTGAGATACAGTTCCACCTGAAAAAACTCCGTTCTCCTCCCATTTAATTTAAACATGTGAGGTGAGGTAATTTTCTATATTTCCAATTATATACGATAAATGTTACTTTATAGTATTTTATATGTTTGCACCATACGTGTTAGGCCTATTATTAACAAAACACATCTCCTTTCCTTTCTTTCAGGGTAACGTGGAACTACCACTGATACTGATTTGACTTAATGTTTGGACACTGGAGTATTTTATGGAAAAGACAACTAACAGTTGAAGAATTCAGTCTCAGACGATCTTTTAAATAAGGTTTCAGATCTGACGTTTTAAGAAAATCAACTGAGTTTCGAATAGTTTGACATTCTTATCTAAACGAAGCATTAGCTGCATCATTTGATACGAAGTACTTTCAGGTCAGCAGCTAAACTATCTTGAAGAGTTTTCGTGAAGCATTTTCCAGATTCACTGAATGTGACGACGCCTCCGATATGGCCGTTCCGCATGAGTTTGCGGTGGCAACGGCTGGTCACCACCTTCTCAGCAACATTTCATCCACCCTTGTTCCTATTACTGAACAAGATTATACGTCACCTAACAATATAAGTTACAATAGTAATGGCCATGTGTGGAATATAATATCATGGACGGCTTTTTGTGTAATTTTTGTTGTGGGTGTGACTGGAAACTGCTTCGTCTTGTGCATGACTTGTCGACCGAGCTCCCGGTTGTCGATCAGTACCATAAATACCTACGTAATGAACCTCGCTGCCGCTGATCTTATATACGTATTACAGTATTTATTCTTCACGATCGGCAATCACCTTCCATCGGGCTGGCCGTTCGGAATGATCGGCTGCAAAGTGATAATTAGCTTAGATATAGTGGTTATGTTCGTCGGTGCGTATATACTAGTTGCGATGAGTATTGAACGCTTCGTAGCGATTGTCTTTCCAATGCAGTCGCTTCAGTGTCGGAGTTTGCCCTGTTCTCGCTGGGTCTGTGGCTCGTTGTGGGTAATAGGTGTAGTAGCGGTCGGGATTCCGTACGCTTTTCACTATGAAAATTTCTTCTACGAAGAAGAAGTCAGGTGGTCGTGCATATGGTCACACTCCTTAAAAGCATTTCAGAAGTACATGCTCGGGATTTGCGTCACCGTACTCATCGTTCCGTCAATTATGTTGTTAGTCGTCTACTCGTCGCTTTTAATTCATTTTTGGAGGACCGTAGGCCAGGTGGGAGCTAGCCTGAATAAGAATCTTCGCCGCAGCAAACGACGCGTCGTGACCGTAGTATTTCTGATTGTGCTAGCATTCTGGATCTGCTACATTCCATTCTGGACTTGGATGATGATAGCAAATTACACGGACTACGAGAACAATGTTATTGGTTTATCCACTGTCATACTCTCCTACACCAATAGTTGTGTAAATCCGTTGTTGTATACTTTGCTGACGAATAAATTCAACCGATGGCGTGAATCAAAGAAAAGTAGCAGATCCACATCAAAGATTGCTCTGAGATCAATATAAAAATTCATTATTTCGAGGCAGCCAGTCACATATGTTATACTTATTTTTATTGCATCCATCTCATGTTCAAACATTAACGTAATTCTCGCGCGTATTTTTAAATAAGTTTACGCTTTCATCTAATCGGATGGAACTCAAGAAAGCATTGAATAATGAATGCGGACTCGTTCATTATGATGTCAATTTTGTGAGGAAATTTTGATTGAAATGTCCTTCTTGATGCCGTTATACTGAGAATTCACTGCGATGCATGCGATGCAATATCCAGATTTTCTTAAGATTTTTTAAATATAAATTGCTTTGATGTTTTAGTGTAAAATTCCGCGCGGCTATCAGACAAAGCAAGGTATGCATTGGCACTTTTTTTTGGCGAATATATCGCATGTCCATACGTTGATAGCGTCATCTGTTTAACCTTTACGATTCTTCATGGGTTTCCGTTTTTAAATCGAACTTTCAGCTAATACAGTGGTGTGTGTATAATTTGCTTAAACACACGTTAAACCTGTGAAGACATCACCATCGTTCTCGATGAGAATAAGGAGCTCTAATTCAACAAAAAATAATACGATAGAAATATCAGAACAAACACAATTCTCTTTACATATGTTTGATCATTTCTTGTCGTTTTATTCGAGCATTTGACGCAATTCTAATAATTACTAACCAGCGGGCCCATAAGACATTTGAGCAGCGGTGACACTGTAATTGCTCTATTTACATCCTATTGTTACAATATTCATATTGAGTTAAATTATCTTTGATTTTTATGCTTCGGTTGCCGTAGGAAATTACGTGTTCTTTAAATTAGGTTTTTTTTTTCTAGATCTTGAAATAGTTTACAATTTCTCAGTTGAATTTGTGTTTAGATTTCTTGTCGGAAAGATTGAGTGCACGTAGTGTACGCCTGTATTGTTGTATTTCTGAAAGGGTATCGTATATAATTAGCGGGGGAAAAGTATATGATAAACGAGCACTTTAGTTTTTGCAAAATCTATAAATGTCTTAAGGTAATTATGAATAGAATACAATATTTGTAAAAAAAAAATAATATTACAATAATTCAGAGTGGCGTATATGAGCTACTAATCCAATTACAGTACGATCTGTGAATGTTGTACTTTAAGGTATAAATGGAAAATAAAAAAAAGAACAATTGTGACGTCAACTTAACAAAGAACCATTTTAAATATGTAAATACTAACACAGTATGATTCATGTCTCTGATTGGATGTTCTTTACAGAAACTAGGCGTACTTAAAAGACGCGCGCCCACTGATATGTTGTGAACCGTCGAAAGACTGGACGAATCTGGTAATAGTAGCCAGTCACTTATCTCTTAATTGAAAAATATTCCGTCAACACCTCATTTCTGTCATGCTAATCATGGAGGAATAATCATGGGACTAATTCTAATTCTAATTCTCCATGGGCTAATGCGGAACGATAGCAGAGTGAAATATAGCGCTGTATAATACGATAATACACAGGCCTATATCTTTTTATAAATTGAAAATAAAATTAATGATTTTCTTGTAACCTATGTAAATGTCACTCTTCAAAATGTACCAATACATTTGTAGATATGAGTTTTATACGTCACATCAAGTTTATTATTTAACAGAATAATGTTTGTAACGCGGTGATAATTGTAAATTTAATGGAATTGAAAACCGTACATTTCAAGTTTAAAAACAAAATATATTTGTCTCACCATTTAACAGACGTGTAACGGTGTATGTACTAAAATTAGATTATCATTAGAAGACTCTGAAGTTGGCTGGATCAATTCATTTGTAGTAAAAGTATGTAAATCAGTGAAAAATAAAATTAAACGTTTAAATATGTGTCTCCTTTGAAGTTGATAATTTATAACTGATTATTTTTAAATGAACAGTTCATGTTGAGGTATTTCTCATCAAGGGCCCAGACCTGTTTTGAAAGGTTTGGGGGCGGCATTCCGAAAAACCACGAAAATTTGAGGAAAAAGTATTTTCTAGATGACTGGAGATGACAGTATTTATAGTAAAATTCATCATCATCAAATCCCTTGTCAAAATAAAGCGCCAAACAAATTTCTCATGATCTTTTATCAGCGATTTTTGGCAACCATCGATCTATTTAATAATATGTGTGATGTAAATTAACTTTAAAATGGTCTTTGACGTATTTACTTTACCTACTTCAAACCGCGAGTCCAGATCAACCTCTGTCCCACCATGGTTGGGGTTGAGGTGCGAAAATTTTAGTATAGTATAGGCCTAGATGGCCGGAAATGACACTCTTTTATAGAAAAAATTCATCATCATTACATCATTCAACAAAATGAAGCACCAACAAATTTCTCGTGAAATTTTATCAAGAATTTTCGTCAGTCATAGAGATCTAAATAATCTATGTGATTTACCGAAGAAAATAAAACTTTAAAACATTGTCTTTGATGTATTTACTTTACTTTACCAACTTTAAGCCATGAGCCCACACCTATCTCAGCCCCACTATGGTTGAGGCTGAGGCGCGAACATTTCGGTAAATAGTACCTCTGACACTCTTATTATAGCAAAATTCATCATCATCGCATCAAACAATTAAAAATATGTGGGGACGTGTCCCCCATCCCCATCATCTGCGCCCAATGAAATGAAATGAAGGATAGTGTCTAAATTGAATACTTTGTTTATTTTCATACAATCGTTTTTACACCTTAGACTTGTGTTATTATTAACAAAGGGCCTCCTTTTTATTCCCTCAGTGAACTACAACTGATACTGACTGGAATCGTTTTAACACTGGAGTATTTGAGTATTTGCTAAAGGTAAATAGCTTTGAAGAATTCTGGCTCCGACAAACTTTCAAACAAGGTTTTCTCACATTTTATGGAAATCAATTAAGTATCGAATAGTTTGACATTCTTATCTAAAGGAAGTATCAGCTGCAACATTAATGTGATGCAAAGTACTTTCAGGTCAGCAGGTAAACTATCTTGAAGAGTTTTCGTCAAATAGTTTTCCTATTCACTTAATGTGACGACGACACCGAGATGGACGTGCCGCCAGAGTTCGCAGGGGCAACTTTTGGTCACCACCTTCTCGGCAACATTTCTTCAACCGTTGTTCCTATTACTAAACAAGATTATACGTCACCTAACAATGAGAGTTACATTGATAAAGACCCTGTGTGGAATATAATATCATGGACGTCTTTTTGTATTGTGTTCGTCGTGGGTGTGACCGGAAACTGCTTCGTCTTGTGCATGACTTGTCGACCGAGCTCCCGGTTATCGATCAGTACCATAAATACCTACGTAATGAACCTCGCTGTCGCCGATCTTATATACGTATTACAGTATTTATTCTTTACGATCGGCAATCGCCTTCCATCGGGCTGGCCGTTCGGAATGATCGGCTGCAAAGTGATCATTAGCTTAGATATAGTGGTTATGTTCGTCGGTGCGTATATACTAGTTGCGATGAGCATTGAACGCTTCGTAGCGATTGTCTTCCCAATGCAGTCGCTTCAGTGTCGGAGTTTGCCCTGTTCTCGCTGGGTCTGTGGCTCGTTGTGGGTAATAGGTGTAGTCGCGGTCGGGATTCCGTACGCTTTTCACTACGAACATATCTTATACGATGTCAGGTGGTCGTGCACTTGGTCACATTCCTTCGAAACATACCAGTATTACATGACCGGGATTTTCTTCTTCGTACTCGTCGTCCCGTCAATTGTGTTGCTAGTCGTCTACTCGTCGCTTTTAATTCATTTCTGGAGGACCGTAGGCCAGGTTGGAGCAACAAGCCTGAATAAGAATCTTCGCCGCAGCAAACGACGCGTTGTGACCGTAGTATTTCTGATTGTGCTAGCATTCTGGATCTGCTACATTCCATTCTGGACTTGGGTGATGATATCGTTGTACACGGACTACGAGAACAGCATCTTTGGATTATTCTCCATTCTACTCTCCTACACCAATAGTTGTGTAAATCCGTTTTTCTACACTTTGCTGACGAATAAATTCAACCAATGGCGTGAATCGAAGAAAAGTAGCAGGTCCACATCGAAGGTTATTTTGCGATCAATATGAAAACCTATGTTTCGAGGAAGTCAATCCGCTTTTGATATTTCGCACATATTTTCTTGAATAACACATTAACGCCATACTCGCGCGTTTTCGAACACGGAATTTTTAAATTCATTGATATGACTAATCAGTGGCGTATCCAGGATTTTAAAAAGGGGGTGTGGTGCTAAATAGAAATATTTGTGCCTACATCCACTAAACTTTACGCAAAGCGCAAAACTAGGGACGGAGTATATTGATATATACCGGTATGACACACCATGTTGTGATCTAAAGGCGCCTAACTTACGGTACTTTGCCATTTATTTCCATTTATCTACTATATTTTGTTCACGTTGCAAAAAAAACGGGGGTGGGGGAAGAATGCTCAGGCACTGTGCCATTGCCAATTAATGCGGACTTAAAAGTCAATTTGTAAGGAAACCACGAGTTAACGAGAGTTCAAGAGATGCGATTATATCAGGCCACATTTTGATACAAATCGCTTTGGCGGTTTTGGTGCAAAATTCGGCGTGGTGATATGCTCTTAAGGAAAAAACAACATAGGCCTATTATACATGAGCACATTACTTTGCCGAATGTACATATCATAGGTACATAAAGATTCTTCATGCTTTTCTTCGGGAATTTTAATCTAATAAAATGTTGTGGCTAAAATTCATTGTTAAATTGTGAAAACATTAGGCATACCATTACTCTTAAATGATAAGAACACAACATTCAAGGAAATTTAGGAAAAATGAACAACGGAGTATATAATGTCATCGTACTTTAGCGCTTGACAACAACAATCTGGACAAAGCCGTAAACGTTATGTGGTAAATCCTTCTTACTGGAAAAAAAAATACAATTCTCTTTTTACACCCGGACCATACGATCAGTTCCTGTCGTTTTATTCAAGCTGCGATGCATTTCTAATCACTTTTAACCAGCGGGCCTGAAGGACTTTTTAGTAGCGGTGTTACTCGTAATTGCTCCATTTACATCCTATTGTAGGCCTATACTACATTCGTATTGAGTTATATTATCTTTGATGTTTTCTGCTTCAGTTGCCGTATAGGAAAACACGTGTTTTTAAAATTAGTTTGCGGGTCCTTTTTCTATCTTGAAATAGTTTACAATTTCTCGGTTGTTTGAATTTCTTGTTAGAACAATCATTTGTTGTATTGCTAATGAGTGCACATAGATACTGCTGCATTTTTGTATTTCTTAAATGTTGTCGTTTCTAATTAGCACGTATCAGTGATATCCAAGGTCAACAGACATAAACCTATGTATGTTTGTTTATGTCGAATGAACTTGATACGAGCATGCACGGCAAATTTGCTTATTCAGATTGACGCAGTAGAGGTGCCGATGTTGTACTTTAAATATAAACGGAAATGAAAAAAAAAATGTGACGTCAATTATTTCAAATACAGTATGTACATTTTACAAGAGTATGATTCGTCTGTTATCGACGCGCCCAATTAATTGAATATTCCGTCAACACCTCATTTCTTATTGAGGAATAATAATGGGATTTGGACCTATTCCTGCATGGGCTAAGGCGGAATAAATAGCGCTATATCAATACGATAATAATCAGACCTAGGCCTATATCTTTTTTTGAATGAAGATACAATTAATGATGGTCTAATGTAACGTATGTAAATGTCGCTAAGAATGTTTTCAGATTTATCAATACGTGTTTTGATATGGTCATCATGAACTTGATTGATTAAAGATATAATATATGTGATGTGTTAAGCTAATATTGTATTAAACTTTCATAACATTTTAATTGATTACCGTACTTGTTAACATTAGGTGTAGTTTTCAATGGGCCTTTCGCTAAGCCTCTCCCCTTGGATTACGGTACTTAGGTCCCACAAACGACACTGTTGAAACATACGCGAACACGTGCGTTTGGGGACAACACTTGTGCTTGTTGGGCATGCGCGTATACTGGCACTGTTCTGACTGGTCAGTTGTTAAGTTTGATCATGCCAGTTAGCAGACGTATAAGTGTTAAAGATAATACATACCGTAATCTACAATACCCTGAAATTAACTGGATCAATTCGTAGATTAAAGGCACCAATGCCGCAGCCAGCTATTGGGACAGTTGGGACAGTCCCACACAATTTTTCTTATGGGTCCACAAAGAATGGGCCACATTAAAAAAAATGGGTCCAAATTATTTAATTTTATGCATAAAATGGGTCCACTCTTTGAAAAATGGGTCCATGATTTCTCATATTTAGCCCAAAATTGGCAAAATTTAAGAAAATGGGTCCAGATTTTTCATATTTTTTGCGTAAAATGGGTCCACATTGTTTGAATTTACGCGTAAAGTGGGTCCATCCTGATATTGTCTCGCACTGGCTACAGCATTGAAAAGTAATGCATGTGAATCAGTGAAAATAAAATGTTTAAATCTGTGTCTAATTGTAAGTTGATTTCTGATTATATTTAAATTGTCAGTTTAACGAGAGTGGTTGCAGATATATTAAGAACGAATGAACTTTTCGTTGAAGTGCTATGCTCTGAATACGGT